ATATTAATGATTTTTCAGGGTGTTCTTGACCAGCTGTCCGGAATGGGTGTAAAGTTTGATGATGAGATACAGGGACTTTGGATTCTTAATACTCTTCCAGACTCTTGGGAAACTCTTCGAGTTTCTTTGACTAATTCTGCTCCCAGTAGTGTTGTAACCATGGAATATACTAAGAGTGGTGTCTTCAATGAAGAAATGAGAAGAAGATCTCAAGCCTCATCTTCTTCAGCTTCACACTCCGATGTTTTGGTTACTGAAGATAGGGGGAGAAACAAGTCCAGAGGTAAGAATGATAGAGGTAAAAGTAGAAGCAAGTCAAAGTCTAAATACAAGAATATTACATATGACTATTGCCACAAGAATGGGCATATCATGAAATATTGTTACAAGCACAGAGAGATATGAGACAACAAAAGAGAGAAGGCGATAATGAAAATCGTGTTGTTGTTGTTGCTAATGATGATCTTCTTGTTTCTTGTTATGCAAATGCCATTAATCTTGTTCGTGATGAGTCTAGCTTGGTTTGTGGATTCTGGTGCTACTTCTCATGTCACGCCAAAGAAGGAATTATTTTCTTCTTATACTCCAGGTAATTTTGGAACGTTGAAAATGGGAAATAATCATGAAGTTGAAGTTATTGGCATTGGGACAGTTTGTTTGGAAAGTAACAATGGTTCCAAACTAGTTCTCAGTAATGTCAAGCATGCTCCAGATGTTCGCTTGAATTTGATTTCTGTGGGTTATCTTGATGATGTGGGTTATGTTAATACACTTGGTGTTGGCCAGTGGAAGCTTACTAGAGGTTTGATGGTTGTGGCCCGTGGTGACAATTTGTCTAACTTGTATGTATTTCAGGGATCCATGTCCAGTGACTCAGTAAATTTGGTGGAGAATGATAATTCATCAGAGTTATGGCATAGAAGGCTGAGTCATATGAGCGAGAAGGGGATTGATAGTTTGGCTAAGAAAAATTTGTTTTCTGGAGTGAAACAAGCAAAGTTGAAGAAATGTGTTCATTGCTTAGCCAAGAAAATAGAAAAGAGTTTCTTTTCAGAGTCATCCGCCTTCAAGAAAGCTTGATTTGCTGGAGTTGGTACATTCTGATTTGTGTGGTCCTTTTAAGGTAAGATCTCATGGTGGTGCACTTTACTTTGTGACTTTTATTAATGATCATTCTCGCAAACTCTGGGTATTTCCTTTGAAGTCCAAGGATCAAGTATTTGATGTGTTCAAGAGTTTTCAGGCCTTGGTTGAAAGACAAACAGGGAAGACATTGAAATGCATCCTCTCAGATAATGGTGGTGAGTATATTGGTCCTTTTGATAGATATTGCAGAGAGCAGGGTATTAGGCATCAGAAAACTCCTCCAAAGACTCCTCAGTTAAATGGTTTAGCAGAGAAGATGAACAGAACTCTAGTTGAGAGGGTTAGATGTATGCTTTCAGATGCTAAGCTGTCAGATTCCTTTGGGCAGAAGCACTTAATACTGCTGCTTATGTTATCAATTTATCTCCTGCTGTTGCTTTAGATGGTGATGTCCCTGACAGAGTTTGGACTGGTAAGAATATTTCTTATGATCATCTTAGAGTCTTTGGGTGTAAAGCCTTTGTACATGTTCCTAGGATGAAAGGTCAAAGTTGGATGTTAAAACTAGGCAGTGTATCTTCATTGGTTATGGTCAAGATGAATTTGGCTATCGTTTCTATGATCCTGTTGAGAAGAAACTTGTTAGAAGTCGTGATGTTGTGTTCTTTGAAGTCCAAACAATTGGAGATTTTGACAAAGCTGATTTTCAGAGTAGTGAGAGCTTAGTTGATGTTGATCCAGTTCCTTTGACTATTTCACCGGAAGAAAATCTTCATAACGATGAAAATCAAGTTGATAATGAAGATGGTGATCATGTTCAGAATGACCGGCATGATGTTGTTGATGCTCCAGTGCAAGATGATGTGGCTGACCAACAACTAATTATAGATGCTCCAGAGAGTTCTCTCAAACGATCTAGTAGAGAGAGAATTTCTTCATCTCGTTATTCTCCCAATGAGTATGTACTCTTGACTGACGGGGAGAACCTGAGAGTCTTGATGAGGCCATGGAAAGTGAAGAAAAGAAAGGTGGTTTGATGCTATGGAAGATGAGATTAAATCCTTGCATGATAATCATACCTTTGATTTGGTTAAGTTACCTAAAGACAGAAAAGCTTTGAAAAACAGGTGGGTTTTTCGGGTGAAACATGAAGATGGCAATCCAGTTCCACGGTACAAAGCTAGATTATTTGTCAAGGGATTTAATCAGAAAAAGGGAGTTGATTTTGATGAGATATTCTCTCCAGTTGTGAAGATGTCATCCATTCATGTGGTTCTAGGCTTGGCTGCAAGTCTAGACTTAGAGGTTGAGCAAATGGATGTTAAAACTGCTTTCCTCCATGGTGACTTAGATGAAGAAATTTATATGGAGCAACCGGAAGGTTTTGAAGTCAAGGGTAACGAGAATTATGTTTGCAAATTGAAGAAGAGCTTGTATGGTTTGAAACAAGCTCCCAGGCAGTGGTACAGAAAGTTTGGTTCTTTTATGAGTCAACAGGGCTTCAAGAAGACTTCTTCAGACCATTGTGTTTTTGTGCAAAAGTTCTCTGATGGTGACTTTATTATTGTGTTGCTTTATGTTGATGACATGCTTGTTGTTGGTCATAATACTTGCAGGATTCAGAAGTTGAAGCAAGAGTTGAGTAAGTCTTTGCTATGAAAGACTTAGGACCAGCAAGACAGATTCTTGGCATGCAGATTGTCCGTGATAGAAAGGCCAAGAAATTGGTATTATCACAAGAGAAGTACATTCCAGAAAGTACTTCGCAGATTCAGCATGGACAAAGCTAAGGTTGTCAATACACCTTTAGCTATGCACTTCAAATTGAGCACGAAATAGTGTCCTTCTAGTGATGATGAGAAGGAAGATATGAAGAAAGTTCCTTATGCTTCAGCTGTTGGTAGTTTGATGTATGCGATGGTTTGTACAAGACCGGATATTGCTCACGCTGTTGGAGTTGTTAGCCGTTTTCTTTCTAATCCCGGAAGAGAATATTGGAATGCTGTGAAGTGGGTTATGAGATATCTCTGCGGCACTTCTAGTCTGAGTTTGTGTTTTGGTACAGGGAAACCTATTCTTTGTGGTCATACATATTCAGACATGGCTGGTGATGTTGATACTCGCAAGTCTACTTCAGGGTACTTGGTTACTTTTGTAGGGGGAGCTGTGTCTTGGCAATCTAGGTTGCAAAAATGTGTTGCTCTATCTACTACAGAAGTTGAGCTTATTGCTATGGTTAAAGCTTGTAAAGAATTGCGTTGGATGAAGAGATTCTTGGGGGAACTTGGTTGTGCTCAAAAGAGGTATGTGCTTTATTGTGACAGTCAAAGTGCTATACATCTTGGCAAGAATTCTACGTTCCATGGTCGGTCTAAACACATTGATGTGAGATACCATTGGATTCGAGATGTGTTGAATTTCTAAGTTGCTTGAGCTTGAAAAGATTCATATAAATGACAATGGTTCCGATATGATGACTAAAGCTTTGCCAAGAGGGAAGTTTGAAGATCGTTGCATGGTTGCCGGGATGGCGGTCTCCTCCACATAGTCGTGAGGGGGAGAATTGTTGGGTTATGGTCTTTTTTCCCTTTCTATGTGGATAAATAAAAGCCCAATTTGGACCAACCCATTTTTGCCCATAGTCCCATTCTTATGAGGCAAATATAAGCCTATTTTGGTCTTATTTTCATACACACAGAGAGTTCTTTCAGCAGCCAAAAAGAGAGAAAGAGAGCAGTTTTCGCAGTCAAAATTCAACCCTAACAACCAACTTCAAATTGCGATTCCCAACAGTGTGTAGAGTTATAAATTAATGTTATCGAGTTGGATGTTTTTCATATCTCATCTTAGCCTTGAAACATAAATTTATGAAAAATATTTTAGCATATTGTCATAAATAGATCTAATATGAACGAATTTAATAAATCAACAAATCAATATGGTCTCATCGTTGTTTTTCTTGATGAATCTAGACATGTCGGCTTTATTTGAGGTTCACTAACCTAGGATTTTGAATTTGTTAAGACCTTTGAGTTTCGTTATATATGACAACACATATTCAATTAAAAGAAAAAGATGTTATTAGTTTATTTACATATTATTTTTTATCATTAGGATTATTTGACCTGTTTAATAGACACTAATGTTCATCTTAGTAAACTTATTATCCTAAATTATTATTCATCTAACTCTTACATATAATCAAAGGTTATGACACCCAGTAAGAAATGGATGCAACTTGTTGATGATTGACTTAATGAGGTCTACTTTATTGGGGTAGAAAATTTTTAAAATATGCTTTTCAAAGAGCAGGAGAAATGTATGAAATACGATGTCCATGTGTCAAATGTTGTATACCACATTAGGAACGTGTGACAGTCAGAACACACTTGAAAGTTTATGGAATAATTAAAAACTACACCTTTTGGTATAATCATGGAGAAGTCTACGGTGAGCCAGAATCAGAATGTGAAGATAGAGATGATAATGAAGCAGAAAATGGTGAAAATGAGGATGAAATAAGAGAAATTTTGATAGATTTCTATCCTAACCATTATGGACACACTGCAGATGTTGATTTTAATGAGTCACATGAAGAGGAACCAAATGTTGAAGCCAAAAAGTTTTATAGACTATTGGGAGACTTTGAGAAGACACTTTATCAAGGTTCAAAAATTTCAAAACTTTCAACTTTGAAAGTATGGGTCATTGGAGTAATGAGTCATTTACGATGTTGTTAAAAATACTAAAAGATAAGGTGTTTCCTGATGAAGCCGATTTGTCGAATACATATTATGGGGCAAAGAAGGTAATTCAGAATCTTGGACTTTCCTGTGAAAGAATTGATTCTTGTATAAATGATTGCATGTTATATTTAAAGGAGGATAAATTACTTTATTCGTTTAAAGTTTGTGGCGAATCCAGATGGAAAGTTGATAAACGTAGCGGGGAAGCAAAGAACAAAAAGGGTAAAAAGGTAGCATCAAAGATTATGCGTTATTTTCCATTAAAGCCTAGGATTCAAAGGTTATTTATGTCTTCAAAGATATCTTCTCTAATGACATGGCATCATGATGAAAGAGTTGATGATGGAATAGTGAGGCACCCAGCTGATTCAATGGAATGGAAATTATTTGATGAACTCATCCTTCATTTGCAGCCGAGCCTCGTAATGTTCGACTTGGACTTGCGAGTGATGGTTTCAACCATTTTGGAATGTAAAACTCATATAGCATTTGACTGGTGATACTTATTCCCACCTTGGTTGTGTATGAAGCAAGAAAATTTTATCATGTCCATGCTTATTCCGTGTCCAAATGGTCCAGGTGATGCAATTTACACATATCTTCAGCCATTAATAGAAGAATTGAAGGATTTATTGGGATATTGGTATTGAGACATTTGATGCATCAACCAAGCAGAATTTTAAGTTACATGCTTCTTTGTTTTGGACCATCAATGACTTTCCAGCACATGAAAATTTATCTAGGTGGAGTACGAAAGGAAAATTGGCATGCCCATGTTGCAACAAAGATACTTCCTCAATCAGATTGACCAATTGTAAGAAATAATGTTATATGGGTCATCGTTGTTATCTTCCTCGCAATCACAAATGGAGGAATGATAAGAACTCCTTTGATGGTAAAGAAGAGAAGAGGCTCCCACCAAAAAAACTATCTGGTATTGAGATTCTTTATCAAGTTCAAGATCTTGAGGGATTGCAGCTAACAAAGGAACCAAAGAAAAGAATCAAAATATCACATGATAGTCGAAAAGATAATTGGAACAAGAAGAGTATCTTTTTTGAACTTGCATATTGAGAGTCTCTTTTGTTGTGACATAATTTGGATGTTATGCATATTGAAAAAAATATATGTGACAACATCTTGGGGACAATTATGAATGCCAAAGGAAAAATCAAGGACGATATTAATACTCAGCTAGATTTGAAAGAAATGAATATAAGGCCAGAGTTGCACCCTATCGAGAAAGGTGAAAAATATGAAGTTCCAACTTTATGTTACACCTTATATCCACAAGAAAAGCACAATTTTTGTCTGTTTTTGAAGAATTTAAAGGTTCCAGATGGATTTTCATCCAATATTTCTCAGTGTGTTAGCCTGAAAGATCACAAAATTTCTACTTTAAAAAGTCATGATTGTCATGTTCTTCTTCAGCATTTACTCCCTCTTGCACTACGGGGTATGTTGTCCAAAGAAGTGTGTGAACCTCTAATTGAATTATCTATATTTTTTAAATGATTGGAGCTAAGTCATTAAGGATTGATGACTTGGAGCAGATTAAGGCTCAAATTCCAATAACTCTTTGCAAGTTAGAAAAGGTATTTCCGCCTTCATTTTTTTATGTCATGGTGAGATTGCCTATTCACTTAGCTAATGAAGCTATGCTTGGTGGAACTGTCCAGTATCGATAGATGTATCCTATAGAACGAGGGTTATATTGTTTGAAATCTCTCATTGTTAATAGGGCTTGGCCAGAATGTTGTATTGCAAAGAGTTACATTGCACGTGAATGTATGAATTTATGTTCAAGATATCTGCATACAATTGACACAAAATTTAATAGGCCAGAACGAAAGTATGATGGTTGTCTGAAAAAATCTAAAGGAGTATCTTTATTTTTTCAATATGGAAAAAAACTGAGGGCTCCAAAACAGCGTGAGCATGCACATATATACCTTCTAAAGAATTGCGATGAAGTTCTACCCTTCCCAGAGTATGATTTTTTTTCTAGACATCATACTTTATTGCCTTTTTTTCTTTTGGATAACTTTTTTATATGACATTTGTGATTCAATTTAAATTTGTGGAGAATTTGCACAAATTCATATAGATTCTACTCAATACTTGTCTGATGATGAATGGAGTAGATAATTTATTGAATGGTTTCAAGATAAGAGATAATATGTACACATCAAATTTAAAAATCTAATATTAAGTTACCCATTTAAAAGTGATCAATTTTATTATGTTGATAGGTTGCACAATTGCATAAAGAAGATGATAATCGGATCATGGAAGATCTCCTCGCACTTTCACGTGGTCCTACTAAATATGTATTACATTATAATGGTTACATTGTCAATGGATATAGATTCCATGCAGAAGATTATGATAAAAATTTATGGACTCAAAATTGTGGTGTGATTGTCATTGGTAAAACTGATAAACATAGTGAGAACATTGATTACTATGGAGTTTTAACCGATGTTCTTGAATTGCAATTCACGGGCAGAAGAGTTGTTTTGTTTGAATGCAAATGGTTTGATGCATATGATAAGACAAAGGGAGTGAAAATAGATGTGTATGACATTGTAAGTGTAAATTGGGGGCGATTTTTGAAAACAAATGAGCCTTTTGTATTAGCTGATCAAGCCTCTCAAGTAGTTTATGCTATTGATAATTCCAATAGAGGTTGGTGTGTAGTGAAAAAGGTACAACCTCGTAATTCCTATGAAATTATCCAACAAAAGGACAATGAATTTGAAAATTTAGAAAATTCTTCACAAAATAAATGAAAAAAATGATTGAGGTGAATATCTCCTTAAACTTTTGCATATTCGTCATTATACATTTTGAAACACGATTTTATTAGTACATTATTTTTATAGTGTTTTAATCTTTTTTGCCAAGCATATGATTTTTAGAATGTTTTCTCATTTTTTTTGTTAACACATTGTCTTTGTTTTTTGGTAGGTGTGATATGAAATCATCAAAGGATGAAAATCAGGTGGCATCTAGAGTGAAAGTTACTACTAAATATGCATGTGTGCCATCGAGTTCTATAGGAAAAGGACGAGGAAGAGGTCTTAAATGTATGGTGTCAAGAACTTTTATTCCATTTTCTCCATCTACTGATCAAGTTATGCAATACAATCAATTTACTGAAACAAGTATGGGTTTTTATTTTTATTAGTGTTATTTACTTGTACGAGGAATTTTTTAATACTAATTTTTTATTGTCTCTTATCTCATGCTAGGTGTGGTTGCATAAGGACGAGGAAAAGGTCTTAGATCTATGTTTAATCCTCAAGGAGTGAGAACAATGAAGAAAAATTACTTGAGTGTTGAGAAAGGACATATTCCATCTTTTTCATCTACAGAGGAACTTATGCAATATATCAAAACAAATTTATCAAGTATGATTTCTACAATTTATCATATTTTAGAACTGAATTGAATTTATTGTTAATTTTTATCTGATATGATTTCTTGCACTAGGGGCTCAAGGGAAATATCAAGGGCTTTAAATCTATTGCTCAATTGAAGATATTGAAAATGAGGAGCGATCTTTCAATCAAAATGATCGTTGTGTTAGTCAAAGCATGTCAAAACCTTCTAATGCTCAAGGATGGAGAACAATGAATAAAAAGTATTTGACTTCTGAGAAAGAGCATAAGCAAGATGATGTTCCAATTTCTCTCTTTACTTGTGATGTTATGGAATCCACCCCAACATTTGAAACAAGTATGATTTCTTTTTTTTATTTTATTTTTTAGAATTGAGTTTAATTTGATTCAAGTACTTATACTGATACAATTTGTTGCATTAGATTTTTCTCAAGGATTGTGAACAATGAATAAATTTTTTTTGACTTTTGAGAAAGAGGATATGCAAACTGATAGTGTTATAGAGCCCACCCCAACTTTTGAAACAAGTATGATTTTCTTTTTAAGATTGAATTTAATTTAAATCAAGTAATTTTACTGAAATAATTTCTTGCATTAGGTTTCTCTCAAGGATGGAGAACAACAGATAAAACTACTTTGGCTAATGAGAAAGAGAGTTTGCATTCTGATATTCTAATTTCTCCTATTGATCAAGTTAAACAGTCTGCCCAAAGAGTTGAAACAAGTATTCTTTGATTTATAATAACTATTTAATCACAAGTTTATCATATGTACAATATTTTCTACCATTCATAAATGATGTAAATATAGTTTCATGTGCTACTGGACTGGATAAAAACGTTCGAGGAAGTAACAAGTGCAAAGAAGTTGCATCGCTTGATATTGGACAAAAGCTAAAAGTGACATTTTACAATAATTGAACTATTGGGAAGAATAGTAATCTATTTTTGAGGCACTTAGAAAAAATAGTTCGTGATCGTAATATATGTCCGTTGGGAGTATCATCATGGAAAACATTGAGGAGGAAAAGTTAAATCATATGTGGGCTGTTATTAAGGTAATTGTATAAAATATTGCAATTTCTTCTGGGGCTACTCTCTTCTTAAAACAATTCTCGATGCTTAATTAGTGTGCTCCTTCTTGTTTCAATATTAAATTGTTTCTCCAATTTCATTTTACATACTAGGTTTTTGACTGATCTGATCTTTGTTAGAGCCAAGGAATTGATGATTATTTTAAACAAAATACAAGTTGTTATTATTATTATAATTGATGTGAACCTATGTTTGATATATTATAGGATAAATTTGATAGTGATGACATAAATAGTCATTGAGATCATGTTTTGTAATTGATGAAAGAGTTATGAAATAAATTGAGAGGTCAATTGTGTTGGGTTTTATTTGCCCTAAATTTTTTACCATAAATAGGTTTTCCTTGTAGGAAAAAGGTTTTGGATTGACTAATCCTTTTTTTGTAGGAAAAGGTTTAGGACTCTATAAATAGAGGCATGTTCCTTCTAACTTAATCAGCATTCACAATGTAGTCTTAAGGGCTTTGAGAGTTTTGGTTAGAGGGAGAATTTGTGGGTCACAAGCTTGATACGTTATCACTTGTGTGAACCTCCCATGTATTCCGAGTGAATTGGTTGAGGTTGTTTCTTCTTTGTATTTTGTACTCTCATATTTATAGTGGATTGCTCATCTTCTTTGTGGACGTAGGTCGATTGACCGAACCACGTTAAATCTCTGTGTCTTTTGGTATATTTCTCGTTGTCTTCTTACTCGTGGTCTTTCGAGGTTTGCTTTGCTAGCTTCCGCATTACACCTGCTTATTTACGATCCTAACAAGTGGTATCAGAGCCAGATTCAATGATGGAGTCAGGTTCAGTGGTTCGATAATCGATGATTGAACCAGGTTAGAAAGAGGTGTTCATCTTGACGGGTGTAGCTGTAGTCGCAACCTTTTTGACAATAACGAAGATTTTGTTGGAGAAATTATTTCAGAGAGATTCTTTGTGTTGAGACATAAATTTTGAAAAGGAGATTATGAAGAGGAGAAGCAAGTTGTTGAAGATTAAGTCAAGAAGGTGGACAAATTTATTTTATCAGAAATTCAGGCCAAGGGGGAGATTTGTTGGGTTTTATTTGCCCTGAATTTCTTACCATAAATAGGTTTTCCTTGTAGGAAAAGGTTTTGGATTGACTAATCCTTTTCTTGTAGGAAAAGGTTTAGGACTCTATAAATAGAGGCATGTTCCTTTTAACTTAATCAGCACTCACAATGTAGTCTTAAGGGCTTTGCGAGTTTTGGTTAGAGGGAGAATTTGTGGGTCACAAGCTTGATACGTTATCACTTGTGTAAACCTCCCATGTATTCCGAGTGAATTGGTTGAGGTTGTTTCTCTCTGTATTTTGTACTCTCATATTTATAGTGGATTGCTCATCTCCTTGTGGACGTAGGTCGATTGACCGAACCACGTTAAATCTCTGTGTCTTTTGGTATATTTCTCATTGTCTTCTTACTCGTGATCTTTCGAGGTTTGCTTTGCTAGCTTCCGCGTTACACCTGCTTATTTTCGGTCCTAAAAAATTGCATGCAAAGAATGTAAAGGGTAAGCCTATGCAAGAGGCTCTTAACAATATGCCTAAGGGGGTAGAAAAGAAGCAATGCGAGTGGTTGGTAACAAAACATTTTACTTCAAAAGGTTTTCAAGTTTGACATATTACCTAATTATGTAATTTTGTTTCATACTATGATCTCATTTTGATAATTTATTCATAACATGTGAATTTAATGTTGTTACTCAAATATAGGCGAGAAGCAATAGAAACGCAATAAATAGAACTAAGTTGAAGATGCTTCATCATATTGGTAGCAAGCCAATTAGAGAGATTATTTATCAAAAGGTGTTATCGTCAAATCTTTTTCTGTTTTAATGTTGATGAACCCTACTTTGACATGTTTACTTTTATGTAAAGGGTGGAAAAGATGGAAATCCACCAGATTTGGCAACTATCTTTTACGAGACTCGCATGAAGAATAACACACTTGTTGATTCTAAAACAATTGAGAAGCATGTGCGTTTGGTTAATTGAGCATGTTCTTAATATTTAGTTATTTGTACATGTTCTTAACATTTAGTTATTATGGAATTTGAAAACAATCTCCTTTAGACACTTTGTAGGCTCAAATTCAAGAATTGGTGGAGTCTGAACCATTACTTTATAACATAGAAATTGTTGAGAAATGCTTTGGACCTCAAAGTCGTAGTCATGTATTTGGATTTAGAGGTGGAGTAAAAGCAAGAAATTTGAAAGGTGGGGCTTCCTCAAAAGCTGAATTGTTGCCCGAGCTACGTTCAACTCAAAAAGAGAATCAGTCTTTGAAGGATTGCATGTCTAACTTTCAAAATGAGATGAAAGAATTTTTTTTTTAGCGCAACACGCTAGTTTTCAGCCTCCAATTCAAGAGAATGACTATTCGGATACTTGATGATACCATGTGAGTAAACACTTAAAACATCATTTATCGTGTTGGTTTTGTGTAGCGAAGCTATTAGTTGTTGGTTGTTTTATCGTAAAATATATTTGTGTGTTTGATAAATTTTAGAATGATAAATAGTCTATAAATTTGGAACACTATTGAATCGTCCTAACCTCATTTTAATGGTGAAAAAATTGTGAAGAGTTCTGTCAATATCAGATTCTTCTAATTTCTGGTTTTCCAATGCTAATGAATCTGCCATATCCTGTGGTGTAACCTGAATGAATGATACATTGTAGTATTACATAACAATATCAATCTTTTTGGTAAACAAAAGGTGAAATTGGATAAGATACGTAATTTAACGTGTGATATCATGTTAGTTACTAGCTTGAGCATCAAAAGTGAAACGGTGGTGACTGTTCCAGTGATCTAAATCTTGATCTAAAGCCACTGCATATTTTTCTACCATCGTAGGGTCTTCCCCAGCTGTTTCTTGTGCTCTCCCCCATCTTGGATCATTTACTATGTTCACATTTGGAGCCTAAAATGTAGTTCCCTTTAGATCACCTGCATTATACACTGCTCTTGCTTGTCTCTAAATTTCCTACTTTAAGTATATCATCTTATAAAACTAGCTATTTAATGTATTCATTTGAATTTCTATAGTTGCCATACAATTATCTGTTGGATATTTTTTACAAATGTTATTTGATCAATTACCAAAAGGTAATTTTAATGATCGAGTGATCACACTTACAAAAATTGTTTCTCAAATCAATTTCTCTTGATTCGTTCAGAGCGACTTCGTGTAAGCTGTAAGTCCTAAGCTTATTAAACGTTGAATATCTACATTGTCCTAGTTGTATCTGTGAGTGTGAAAATGTAATCATATACAGTACATGTAGTGGTTCCTCTCTTTGTTAATACATTTAGACTTTCCCTCCTGTTTAGAACATGTACGATGTAACGTTATATTTTTTCAGCACACGAACTCCTGATAAAATTTTATAGAGAAAATGGACTTTTGGCTATTTAAGGATTTTCAAGTGATGATAACAAACTCAGTTAGAACATGTAAGCTCTTCTTCCTCTCTTAACTTTAACTTTTTGACTAAGTTTTGTTCCTTGTAAATTTTAGTTTGTGATTACAATTTACTCGTCGCAATATAAGTAATTAGTGTTGTCGCTGCTACAACTATATTGTGTACAACAATTTCCCACAAAAAAATGGCCATCAAAATCTCAACTGTTGCAGCAATTAGTGGTACAAATTGTTATTTGATTTAATCACATCTGTATGTTTATCTTTATATATAGGTCTTGTGAATGAAAGTTCTATTTCTTTTAAGATTTTGGATGTTGAAATTTGCAAAAAGCTGATGTTAAACAACATATAGATTGACCATTTTTTGTTGGGAAGGTTAAGGCGACTTTGGATTATAGTTTAAGGCCAGTGTATACTTTTTTCTGCTAAGGGTTCATGATCACAATATTGTTACTAGCTTACCTCAGTGTTGTATGTAGTCAGATGCCTTATACTCACATTATTTTGTAATTACATTATATATTGTATATGAAAGTGACAAGTTTATATTAATTATCGTATTTTCTAGGTCAAATGCAATGTGATTTAAGGACTAGAATGCAAATTCTTAAATCATTTTGAGTAGGAAATCTGTAATGGTTGTGATATGATTTATGGATCATCTCCAAAATGGTCCTGAAATGATTTAGGGACCAGCTTAAAAGTTTTCGTAAATTGATCTATAGACGAGCTAAAAACTGGTCGCAAACTGATTTACGGACCAACTTCAAACTGATCGCAAAATGATTACGGACCAGCATAGAAGTCGTCCCAAATGAAATATACAACAGTTATAATACATTGGAATTCAATATTTTATACATATTATACGCATATTTCAATGAATCTGGTAAATATATAACTACATTCTTTATACAAATGTATTATACGTATTGTATGTGAATTTCAAACATTTCGCTACTATTTAAATTAGTCTACATTGTTTGGAAATATATTATATTGATTTTGGAATATCAACAGTCAAAATCATATGATATCAAATTCAAATTGTATTATAATTATCATTATATTTAGGATAAATCATCTACATACACAACATCATTCAACATATTTTCTATTATTCCCCGCCCTTTCTAAATATTACTAAAATCCTTTTTCTTACTCCATTAAATCAAACTTCCAGATACATAACATATTTTTTCCTAACCCACGTTTATCTCTCCCCTTTTCACTCCTTACATCACTCTCTTTTTTACTCCCACAATCTTATCTGTTTATTCTCTCATTACAATTTTAAATTTTAAGATCTTATCCATCTCGTACTATTTCAAAAATTCACTCACAATACATACTTTTTTTTTGTTTTTCTTCATCAAAATTGTGATACATTATGGATGATACGCCTGCCTTCAGTATTGAGATTACCCAGATAATGTCTAAGACCAATCACATTATCATTACGAAAAGATTAATTGGAAAGAAGACAGATCTAGGGAATTGCATGATTCTTTTGTAATGGCTAAAGTAAACAATAAGAAGGTGAAGAAGGATAGTCAATCTTCTTCAAAAGCGTAGTCGATAAAACCCTAAAAAAGAGGTGTCGAAAAGTCGCACCAAGTAATATCTCGAAATACTTTACCTAAGGTTAGATTTTCTATCCTTTTATCAATTATTGTGATCGTTGAACTTGATGTTATTAGTTCAACGATTTTATGATACATTAATGATTTAATAGTTTTTTAATATTGTAATTTAACAGGATTTAGTTAGTTTTGTAGATGATTTGAGTTTGTCGAGAATGATTGTGTCATCTCAAACATCTCTCTTCCTAATATAATCAAACGGAAGATCTTTATTGGATAAGTGAGAGGAAGTTGAACAACTTTGGAGCCGGAAGAAGCTTTAGCAACAATTATCGCCTTTTACACTTTGTTTGTGTCATTGTTACCCATTGTTTCATAATGTATTGTATTGTATTGTATTGTACAATATTGTACTGTATTGTATGGTAGATATGATGTTTGAGTAGACTGTATTGTTTGTTGTTGTTTAATAACATTTTAATTGTTTGGTTTGATCGTATCGTATTGTATTGTAATATATAAATTTACTAAAATATACCTAATTATTCTAGGATAGGAGGTTTGACTAGATTTAAATAAGTAAGGTAAAGGATAAAATTGTATTTTGAAATATTATGTAAATATATCATTGGAAAAAGAAATCGAGTAACAATGGAAACACACCGAATTGATTGTTCCATAAAATAGGGATTTTCATTGTTATGTAACAACGAAATTTAACAATAAAGTATAATACATTTTAAGTAACAATCAAAACAAACATTGTAGGTATAGTAACGATACAATACAATACAATAGATAACAATGATCCAAACATAGTGTTAGAGATAAACATTCATTGAAAAGAGAGGTGGGTTTAGGGATGGAGGGAAGTAGAACATGTTAACTAAACATTCAATGTATCATACGTTGTTATGTATCTTACTGTTTTATAACTAAATATGTGTTCATCATATTCACAATTTATCATAACTATTTTTTTTTATATTTTTATGTTCAACTTTGTCTGATACAAAATGGGGAAGGGAGGAGAGAACATGTTGTTTAACATCCTTCTATATCCAAGATTTAGATTTTTACTTTATCTAATTTATAAAGCCTTCGTTTCAATTTAATGATACATTATATTAACTTTTACAAAACAATAATGTATATATCCAAAATCATAAAATCAAATAGTCAAAAAAAGTTTCAGTAACGATTGATACATATGTAAATTTTACCTTCCTGCATGATATGCAACCTTATTATAGAAATATGGTACTGAAAATGTAGAGGTAGGATACATTAGTGAAAATGAGGATCCACCAAGGCATAAGAGTCAATTCACATCACTAACTCAAGACAATTTGGTTAATATTGAATGTAGATTATCTATTCAGTTGTTAGACACTTATTTATAGTGGTATTTCTTTTGAGATACATTAACTCTATTTTTTTTGTTATTGTTTTTAGATACTCGTATTCAAGTATTAGAATGCTTCTCTAAAAAGTTGTTTATTTTACTTTAACTTTCACTATTTTTAGTTGTTATTTACGGTACACATTTTTCTGATATAAAATGATACAAAATTTAAATAAAACTAAGTATTAGATTCATTAATGCATAAACACACAATATTATTTCTTCTCATTAGTTTTAGTTAAATGTTGATGCATTTTGACACCTAACCAATGCAATGTATTTAGTTCTAGTTAGTCGTTTATTCATTCATGTTGATACATTAAATCATTAGTTGTAGTTAGTTCTTGATTCAGGTATCTTATTGATATATTGATTCTTACTTAATGCAATACATTTATAGATACAATTTATTTATTTTACATACTGCTTTTTCACAACCTTATCACATCAAATACATCATTTTCAACTAGATCATGATACATTATATAAAAATATATCAGAACCATATTGAGTGGTACCAACTTCAAACACAATCTCGGGTACATTATTATTCAATAGCTAACGATGCATTATTTTAAAAAGTTGTATGAAACACTAAGTGTTACAAAAATGAACACAAGATTAAAAATCTTAACATTTCAATTTATTGTATCAGAATTTCAATAGCTAATAGTAAATTGTAATGTTTTATCAAGGTAAAAGTGGAAAAGACAAAAAATTAAAAATTTATAATTCCAAAATAATGTATCTGAACATAACAATAGTTCCAAAAAGAGTTTTCAATCTTCTTTCGAAAAGAAAGTACAAGTTCTTCGTTTATGATATTCTTGTCCAGAACGTACACAAATGTTTGTGTTCGTGCTTGTGCTTATGTTTTCATTCTATGTCTTTCCCTCCTTTTCCTTGGTCAATCAGTCATCTTTTTGTACCTAGGTTCCAAGACAATTTCTTCCAAAGTAAATTTCGACATTGATTAATCATCCTTATCCGGCATTGAAACCATTGAAACTTCATTCATAGTTGCTGATGCAACTGGTTTGTAGTAATTAGAGCGGGGATATGTATCTCTGTGATGTTTTTGTTTTTCAATAAAACAATTGTGTGAGCATAAGGTATACAATTACATATTTTCTCTCAAGGCAACAATGTATCTCCATCCACCTTTATACACTTAATAAATAAATTAAGAGAATGAAACAACTTGCACACATTTGAAACATAGAGATGATATCATTTAATTCAATTTAAGATACACAACGGCTTAATGATGAGTAGCCCCAGATACATGATAATTTATAAATTGATACATACCTTCAAATATTGATTTGAAAGTTCATATACTGATACATTAAAAAAGAGAAGAAATTCACATGTATTTGATACTCTATTATAACAACACACTAACTCACATCTATAAAACTTCATTACATATGCATCAAACTAGAACTAAATCAAGTTGAAATAAGTAATGTATCATGATTTATATATGCATACACAAACTCAATAATAATAATAATAATAAAAAGACAAATGGTATCGATACTTTATACTAATAGTACAATAACTCACATATCTGCAAAGTCATAGCATATACGTCAAAGTTTTAATAAATCAAGTTTTAACCAGTAATGTATCACGACATATCGGTCAATATACAAATTCATAAATGAAAAATAATGATTAACACACAAGAATATGTGCTGCATATCTTTTGTTATCAAATTTTTCAATTCGAAAATTGAAGCTATGCCAAATGAACATTACTATTTTTGTCCAAGCTAGTTATAAAATAACAACTTTCAATTCGCTTCATATTTGAAATCCAACATCTCAAAATGGTATGCGATCACCAACACAAAAATAAAAATTCCAAGAATATTGGCAAAGAAACTCAATTCTTGATCGGCAATCATTGAGATTCGTGTAGAATTTGAAGAACCCAAAATTAAACGATCTTCAATTTTTTCTTCCATCGAGAGTGTCAAAAGTCAAAATATTCATTGTATATCTTATCAGAAGTTTTTAAAATCCTATTCGAAAATTTTTTCGCTGAAACAAAGACAAACATGAACAGAGATTTTAAATTTTGAATTGATTTTCTTTTAGGATTTATGTTTATTTGATTGACACAATTAAGGGGATCTGGATAGCGTAAATTAGGAGATTTTAATTTAATTTTCTGATTTGCTTTCCTTTTTAAGCGCAACAGCCACATATATAATGTATCACAATTAATGTATCCGGACAATCAATTATGTATCTGGACTGCTGATATTTGAAGAGATTTTTATAAAATAGAAAAAATAAGGATAGAATGTAATTTAGGATTTACACTATGGTATTTATGTAAATTATACTTATACTTAATATAAAAAATTCAAAAATTCATCTCTTCTATTTTTTGGTAAATCACCACCGCTAGACTATCGATTGTTTATATTTAATACAATTTTTATACAACTTTGAAACAATTTTTCAAAACTTCACCTAATATATAACTAAAATATTTTTGATACAAATATATTATAAGTATTATATGTGAATTTCAAATATTTCGTTACTATTTAAAGTAGTTTACATTGTAAAAATGTATTACATTTGTTCTGAGATATCAACTATCTAATTCAAAATAATATATAATATTAGGTTCAAATTATAATATAACTATCATTATATTTAATATTATTTTTCAGAAATTCACCTCTTATTTTACGTAATTGTAACAACCTAGTTCCGTCGTTATGGAAAAATCAATGAAGAAAAAATTATGGTCATAAAACTTTTTGATAGTAACTTGGAATTCCTAAACTAGTCCATATTTGGATGAAATCAGAGTCATTATGATATAGGGAAATCTACTTATGAATAAAAGATCTAATTATGAATTTTATTACATCAGTGGATAGCTAAGACGATAAGAAACCTGTAGCACTTTATGAAATCAAAGTTGGACGAGTAGAATATCCGAAAATGATCTTGACTTGAACGGTACATTCTGCCTCCACTAAGACAGCTGTAACAGGATTCTGGGAGTTGCAGCGGGATGGGTCTACTGTAGCAGGTCAGACGCGACTTAAGGTCACTAATAAACCCCTAAACAACCTTATTTGGTATTTTGTTTACTTTTAGGGCTAAAGAGGCGATTCCAGACGAGTTCTTGAAAGTTTTTCACCATTTTTTAGTCTAAAGTGAAGATTTTAACGCCTCGAATTCATATTTTGAACCGTGAAACCTATTGTCTTGGGTTATTATCGACGGAAAAGAGTTTTGATATAAGAATTATGCTGGAAAAAACCATAATTTGGGTATTAGGATCTTGGGTTTGTCTAGGGTTATTGGTTTTGTTATAATCTGATTAATTAGACATTTGATTGTTAATCCTTGCGTATATTAATTATTATAGACCTAGAACAAGCGAAAAGAATCTGGAAAGAGAAAAGTCCAGTGTCTTTGGGGATTCAAGCTTGGACTCGAGGTAAATGAGGATTGTGATTTCATATTGGTGTGATATATGTTTGTAATTGCTTCGTTATAATGCATGCATTCATGAGAATGTTGCATTATTAATCACCCTAATCGTAATTAAGAATAATTGAATAATTGTATGTCATGAATCACCTCTTGTTGTATGATCTTGATGATGTAATTGTGATTGTGATTATGGTGTGTGGTTGGGGATTGAAATGCCATACCCCGGCAAGCTAACTTGGATAAGTTTTCCATGTTCTGGCACAATTAAGAGATCATATGCCACGTTTCGGCATGAAAAATGGGATTGGATTGTCACATTCCGGCAAGCTAACAGTTTGAGTATGGGGTCTATGAGTCGACCATTGAATTGGGTTTCGTGAGAGGACCAATGAGTTGTGTTGTGTATCTACTTGTGATGATTGAGTTCATATCTAATAATGATTAATAATGAAAAACTATTTGTTACTCTAAAATGATTTACTTGTATATTGTTGAGAATTGTGGAATTGTTCGTTGATATGAATGATAATGATATTGTATATGGGGAAAAGGGTCTGATATACCCCTCAACTTTGTCATTTAGAGCTGATATACCCCTCGTTATAAAAGTGGCACATATATACCCCTACTTGTAAACAAATGGCTCACATATACCCTTTTCCTCTAACGGAAATGAAAAAATAATAATTTTAATCTAAATTTTTATTATTTTTTTCTAAAAAATATAATCCCATATGAGTAAATTCAATCCTTGTCAAACATATTTTTTTTGACTTTTTTTTTATTTTAATGACTAATTTATAATTATTATTTTGATAATCAAATTTATTTATGTTTCACTAATATTCTTGTAAAACTTATTATAGATGACCAAATTTTTTCTTCGAATACGAAATTAAATTACAATACACACAAAAAAAATATTTTAAATTTTTTTTCTTTAAACTAAGGAATGAAAGAAAAAAATAAGAATAAAAAACTCAAATAATTATGATAAAAGAAGTCAAAAAATAATGTATGTATGAAAAAAATTAAAATATACCTTGAACTTTGATAAAAGAATCATATATACCCCCTCAATAATTTTAAAAAAAAATTAGAAGTAACAAATATAAATTTAAAACTAATTTTTTAATTTCCGTTAAATAAAGGGTATATGTGAGCCATTTTGTAACGGTAGGGGTATATGTGAGCCGTTTGTATAACGGTAAGGGCATATATGCGCCACTTTTATAACGAGGGGTATATCAGCTCTAAATAACAAAGTTGAGGGGTATATCAGACCTTTTTCCCTTGTATATGTTTGATATATGACTGTTTTATACTGTTGTGGTTACTTACATGTATTTCACTAATTGGGATAGTCGTGTGACCCTACCAGTACATGTTGGTTCTGTACTAATTCTGCACTTGTTCTTATATTTTTTTTTAGTACAGGGCATCTTCCGGCGACTATTGACATACCTCGTTTAGAAGATGACTGACTATTTAGAATTGAAGGGTGGGCTAGTTCTTTCGGGCTGCTTTGAGTTCTCTTTGTTTAAGTCCACTCTTTTTGTACTCAAACTATTATTTAAGGTGTTGTTTAGTTTCGGGGTTGTACCCATTGTTCTTAGACTTGTCATTAATAGAGTTTTAGTACAATGACTTTCATGTTCTAGGCATTGAATTCCGCATTTGTGTAGTTAATTAACTTATTTCCATAACTTAATTGTCTCAATTTTGGTAGTTGCTTAGTTTAAATTCTAGTAGTGGTTCTCCTACCGGATGGTTAGTGTTTGTGTCAATCACGAGGGGTTGTGTCATGACAAATTAGGAGCAGAGCCTAGGTTCGTAATCTCATTGTACCAAAATGGCTCTAGTAGAGTCTTACAAAATGGTACAATGATGATTATACTTTTATTTGAGAGGCTATAAGACTTTAGAAAAAACTAACTTCTTTCTACTCCTTCGTGCTATGACTTGAATCCAAATGGTATCTAGGTGATGCAACTTGGTATCTTTCCTCATTCACTCTAAGGTCTTAACTAGAGCAACAACAGCGGTAACACCATCACTAGAAAGAGAGGACATGTATAGACTATCGATAGTTGAATAGGTTACCATTTGGAACAATTATCCATTGCCTAAGATAGATGACTTTTTTTGACCAATTGCAAGGTGCATCGATTTTCTCTAAGATTGATTTAAGGTTCGGTTACCAGCAGTGAAAAATGTGGAGCTTAAAAATTGGGTTCGACCAAGTTCTATGATTGGAAATAGCAGTTTTTGGTGATCGTTACAGAATTTTGTCGCTTGTGGTATGAGTTGATTCCGATTGATATCTCCCAATTCCAATTGGCATCTTAACATAGTGAACTATATGAAACACAAGCAAGTTAATTGAAACTGAGAGGGTTCAGATTGGTATCTGTCCTTAGAGACCGTATAAGGTGTGGCTAATGGTCGTTTACAAAATGAAATAATTGTAGAAATTGGAGTTCTCTGTGAGTTATAACTTGTGACAGTTGTATTGTCTGTCTGAAGGTTGATAGATGCAATGTGTTGGTCTAAATGTTGAAAGTGTGCGAGTTTTAACCGTATAATGTCTTGAAAGAAAGTCATCATGAGATTAGGCTCAAGAGGATAGATAAATTACGATGTGGTTTGTAAGAGAGAAATCTTGATGTGTGTTACGACCAACTGATAATCATATGAATGTTTGGGTGTATCCTAGAAATGAAAGTTGTAGTGTTGAATGTAAAGTAAGGGAAATTATGGAGCATGTATCATTAAGATTGAATTTGGATAACTAATGATTTGTCCTAGCTATGAGGATTATTCCATGTGTGAAGTTGGATACCTTGGTGGAAATTAGATAGGTAAAAACCCTTGAAATTTTTTTGGCCTAGACTTTGGTCATGTCAGAGTCGTTACAGCGGGACTGTTCCCGATACAGCGGTGTCGCTACAATGGAATTTATCCCGCTAAAGCGGGACAAAGGGAGGCAGAACCTCATCAATTTTCTCTATTTTTCATAGTCATAATATGGACATCGAAATGCACAACAATGTTGAACGATCGAATATAAGTTATAAGATGTGCTAGAATTATGGAGAACTTGGGCATATGAGGATCGCATGTTGGGATCACAAACTTTATAATTGTTGTGACCGGATGACTAATGTGTTGTTGATCCCGATTCTACTTATTTGTACGTGATAGTTCAATTGTCTTGGAATTTGATGTGGTTTGTGATATATATGATGCTCACATCCATGTTTCCACCCTAGTCAAAGAGTCAGTCATAGGCACCCACATGTATCGTGTTGTCCTATCATTTTTTGAATTTGTTTTCCTTCATTCAGGCTAGGAAACTGGTTGGGCATGATATTTGGCATAATTGTCTCATATTCAAGATGTTGAGGTCGAATCCCCCTCTGTTGAGTCTATTTATGTGGTG